GAACTGACCCAATGAGGGCAGCCGTTGCCGTGGCCACAGTAGCTGCGACAACTATAGCAGAAACAATAAATGCAATCAAAGTGCCAACAAACCGTCAGACTCTTAAAGAGGCCAGTGCATTATTAAGCGCTATTATGTCATGGGGATCTTCCCATTCTCTGGTTACATTCACTGGCACCCATATCTGAGTTTATCTTCTAACTGTATAAACTGTAGTGAGACTTAACTGAGTGATGCTGAGATAAATAAGACAGCTGGCATATATGGATCCTGAAGGAACAGGCAAAGAATAAATTTTTGCTGATTTGTTATAAAACACTTGAGTTGTCCCTGGAATTGCCAAAAACAAGTAAGGGTGAGAGGTACAAACTGTGACCCAATCTTGTTTTAAAGGGCCATTCTGATAGAGGCTTTAAAAAAATTTTTTTAAGATTTTATTTATTTATCTTTAGAGGGGAAGGGAAGGAGAGAAGGAGAGAAACATCAATGTATGGTTGCCTTTCGTGCGTCCCCTGCTTGGAACTGGCCTGCAGGGAACTAGCCTGCAACCCAGGCATGTGCCCTGACTGGGAATCGAACTACGATTGTCTGGTTCGCAGGCCCGCTCTCAATCCACTGAGCTACACCAGCCAGGGCTAAAAAATTTTTATACAGGTGTTTTCTAGTTATAAAAGGCAAGCCCGTTTTCCATAAGTTGTAATGCCAAGGGGTAGTGTGGTGGGAGGGGCCAGTACCGGGCCCCTCCCACCACATATTAGTATATAGGATTTCAGGCAGAGCCAAAACTATTGTTTTGTCAGACTTAGCTGGTACTTTCCAATTAGCTCCCCAGTTCTCCACTACAAAAGGACTTTTGGGGAGAAAAGCAATAGTAGCATTCGGTCCTCTGCACAAAGACCAAGAGACTGAGTCTTTGTGACTCTTGTCTAAAGTACAAGGAGGAATTGGAGAGGGATTGAGTATGATAAATCCTCTCCTGGGTATGCAGGCCAATTATAGTTACTATGGAAAACTGATAGTAATTACTGTATTGCTCTTTGCTTGCAGCATAAAGGTGCTCCTTTAAAGGAAAACACAAAGTGTCAATAAGAACATAAAAATAAATTAGTAAATACTTAGCAACATTATCTGCATTTTTTGGCACCAGAATCCAGTGCTTGTTTTCTTCTAGTTGGCCATTGTCAGTTGGGCCACCTGGTCTGCTAGCTGATCGGCTTTCATCTCTAGGTGGTGGAGCTTGATGTCTGTTTTGTTTATGATAAGGTTTCACCCTTTTAGCTGGAAGCCAGACAGGACCTGTAGGGATGGAAACACATGAACACCCTCTTCCCCATGTTAAGAGGTCTACAGGACCCTGCCAAGTACCACCTCCCAGAGGATCTCTATACAAGACCTGAGGGTAAGGTGGTTTTGGTTGTTTGGCCTGAAAATGTTTCTCAATTGGAGTACAGAGTGATTCATCACAGTTTAGAAAATTATAGGTAAAGATAGTTAACATAATCAAATTCGGGGGGGTAGACTCCTGACTCCCTCTTTTTTGTTTTTTAAGAAGATTTTTAGAGGTATGATGCACCCGTTCAACAATTGCCTGACCAGTTGGATTATAAGGTATTCCTGTTTTATGTTGGATATTCCAATGCTGAAGGAAGGCTTGAGTAGAATGGGCAAGATATCCTGGGCCATTATCAGTTTTAATTTGCCGAGGCCATCCTCAAGCCAATGGGCTTGTATATTTTTTGTAGATTCTCCTGTTAAAGGAGATGCATGTAAAGTGCCAGAAAAAGTATCTATAGAAATACAAACATATAGGAATTTTCCAAAAATAGCATAATGAGTGACATCTGTTTGCCAAATTATTTGAGAATTTAGTCCTTGAGGATTAATTCCTGTACAATCAGGACATTCTTTAATAATGTGAAAAATGGTTACATGTCAAGGGCCTAATGTGACTTGATTGACTAATCATTTTTCTTTGAGAACAGAATAGCCCATTCTTTCCCAAGGAAATGATTAGTGTTTACAGGTACTGAGTTAAAAAATGGTACTTTGTTTTCCAGGGAGACAGGCTAGTTCCCCCTGGGAGATGGTATACCGATATCTCAGTTTTACAATAAAGGGTCATAGCTCTGGCATAAACAAGGAAGATCCTTAATATTTCTTTAACATGTCACACTTCTTATGTTACTTATAGCATGCTTTAGACTGACAAATTTATGAACACATTCATAACTTTTAGAAACAGTTTTTCTGTACTGGCAAATGCATTTACTTTTTTGTTGTTGTTTTATTCTTGGTGATTACTGCATTCTTGCCATGTGCTCAAAAGTGAGCTGTCTCATATCTAGAGCCCTTAAAAATTTTTAGGGAGATTGAAGAGGGAGGGAAGATATCAAGCTCGGCATGGCTTGTTCCCAGGACTGAAGCATTCCCTGGGTCTTCAGAAAGAGGATTCAGAATAGTTAAAAGACACATTTTCTCATTTTTTTTTTCCTGAGCTTTTTACTGTCTGATGGGAAGTGAGATCTTTTTCTTTTTTTTAATAATCAATTTAAATTCTTTCTGAGTAGAATATTTATGATGTAACAATATTAGAAATCTCATTCTATTTATTAAAACATTTTGAGACTGAGATGTTATTTTTAAAAACAGAAACAAAACAAAATTCAGGCAAACTAGTATTTTCAAATTAAATCCTCTAAAGGAGGGAGTGAGACTCTAGTCTTTATCTCACACCACCTGGTGGTTTCAACTTCTGCCCAACTTTTCCTAAATAACTAAGTCTAAAGATCCCTTATCAGGGAGATATTTAGCAGCTTTAAAAAACTGCCAAATTAGTATAAAACATTGCTCTTGTTCTTTAGAGAGCCTATACTTGTTGTTAAAAAGCTTCCATTTTTACTTTCGATATCTGCCATTTCAGATTCCACAGCCCGTATTAAACCTTAACTAACTAGCTATTGGGGAGTATAGTGTGGTGGGTCAAAAATGTACTGTTGGTGAAAACCGTCAGGGAGGGCTGCCTGGTATCCGGGGTACCCTAAGCCCGCTTATGAGTTTCAGGTTTTTCCCACTCGTCTAAGACTGCGAGGGAGGGCTCGAGGCGCCAGGTGACCAACCTTTATATCGCACTCCCTGACCCAGACCAGAGTTAAATTACTGGGACTGGAATTATCTATGAAGCCCCTTCGCACCTCAGGGACTGACTGACTCCAGACACCTCCCCACAAGGCCCTTACTCACGTAGGAACGCTTGAGATCTCAAGCCGGAGGGGGGATTTGCCTCATCTTTGGTGCCAGGGCACTCATAAACAATCCTGTTAACTAACTCTGAGTTCTCAAAGCAATCTTCGGAGTCCGGTTGAAACCAAAACACTCATTTACTATCTGCTTTTCTGTTTACAGGCAGGTGGAAGGAAAAGGCAGAATCAAAAGGGCTGCAAAAAGCAGCTTTTAAAGAATGTGCAGAGGCTCTTGTAAAAAAAGCTAATTGAAAGGAAAGTTCATTGCTCTCTCTCCCAACCCTAAAACCTGATTGGAGAGCAAGGCTTCTGCTTACTCAAGAAAGTGCGGTCGCTGAGAGCGACCTTGGAAAAATACCCTTTTCCGCTACAATACAACACACCCTACATACGCCCTCTGAAAAGCCCTCAGGGTTGTCAGCCCTCACCTGGGCTGTTGCTCCCGATCCACCCACATTGGTGTGTTGACCACAACCTGATAGCCTTGGCTGATAGCCTTTGTGTCCCTGTTCCTGGGCATCACCCTGATACATCTAGAACCCACCTGGCATCTGCTCACTCTGAAATGGCAATTAAGTTAGAGACAGAATTCTAAATGCAGAGATTATTTTCGAGGTTTTCCTGGATGTTATGCAATTTCACTAAGCGGGGTCAGTACTCAAATTTGAGATTTAATGCCTCATTTCTATCTTCATCAATGATCTCTCTTCAAAAAAAAAAAAACAACAAAACAAAACAAAACAAAACTTTGCTTTGAAGGTCATCCCCCAAATTTCTAATGCGTGTTCTGAATCCTTCTTTTCCCACCTCAGATTTATCATTTTTGTCCTTTACAATCTGATTAATCTTTGTTAATAGCTGCTCCAAAACCTTATGGAAAGCACAGAACCTGTAACCTCATGCTTCTGCACCTCTTCCTCCCACAGACATCCAGAACATTTATTGACCTAATGAAAGAAGGAGCAGGGACTCAGAGCAGAACTTCCCTTCAGTCTGTCAATCCTTCCCCAATCTAATATGCACCGCCCCCGCCCCGCCCAGGCTCAAATAATGTGACCCCTGCACCTGGCTGCAATTGCAACCATTCTGATTACCTAAGACTACTCCTATCTCCTATCACCTGTCACTGTAGGGCAAAGCTCAAGGGAGTTTAAGCCTTGGAATGTCACACACTCAGAAGCTATTCCTCCCCCTTTTCAGTCCTAGCCTGTCCCACCCTCCCTAGGTAGTTAACTTCTCAACACCTTTGCATTCTGTGATGTCTCAGAACTTAACAGTTATTTGGCACAATCTATCATTTCACAGCTGAGGAGCCTCTTGAGAGGCAGAGGGTAAAGTAGGCTCCAGTGAAATTTGGGAGGTTCTCAGGGCACCACAAAAATGCAGCGGGGAGCGGGGAGGAAAGTCCAGAGCACTGGCCGCGTCTTTGAGCAGGACAGAGAATCCGCAGCGCAGGGCATGAACCATCTGGATTAACGTCCCGGCTGTCCCCTGGGTCCCACAGACCCAAAAGAGAAGTCACGAAGCACAAAGCCAGTGAACAGCGGAAGGGGAAGCCTGGGCGGTGGCCTGGGGCCACGTCTAGAGGCAGCAGGGGGTGGGGTGGGGGGCGGTGTATGCACCTCAGACACGAATGGAGCCAGGATGCCTCCCCTGTCCTACAGGCAGAGGCCCAGGCAGCTGGGACGTCGGGGGGGGGGGGGGGGTTGCGGAGCTGAATTCCTGAAAGGACTGGGCTCCACCGGTATCCGGTAGCCGGGATGCAGGCGTGGGCTGGAAGTCCAGAGCACCGGTCAACAGTTTCCGGAAAGCCGATCTACTTTGCACCACTCTTGGTGAGTTCAAGAGCTACATAGTTCCCTTGGAGAAAGCCGGAGGAGGGGGTGGGGGGGCTCACGGTGGGCGTGGCCCAAGGCCCCACCTTGAAGGCGGACCCAGGGTCCTGCCAGCCGGTCCTGCCGCTGGATCAGGCGGTAGCCGGACTACAAGTGTGTCCTCAGAGCCCGGGACCGCAGGAGAGCCGGTGTGAGACCGCTGTCCAACTCCCCTGGACCGAGCCGCGAGTGAGAGTGGGGGGTCGAGATCCTTCTCAACTTCCTCTGCCCTTTCCCCAGGGAGATTTAGCTCTGCCTTTGACTGTTGGGTTCTTCCCTTCCCTCTGTCACTGGCTTTCTCTCCTTTTCCTCTAAGTGCCAACCTATCCTGCCCCTCTGCCTCTATGTTGTCTTTTATTTACTGTCTCTTCCTGTTTTTCTCTCTCATCGATCTCAGTTCTTCTGATCTATATCTCCCTTGCTACAAATTATCCCCGTCCTACCCCTTTTTCTGCCCGCCTCTTTCTCTCTTCCTTTCTCCTCTGCCCTTCTTCCCGTATCCCTAGAAAAAATTCAAGTCCGCCTTGAATTTTTTTCCTCCTAGGTTGACTTTTCGGGCCACAATTATTTTCAATCATTCATCCATCTATTCACTAATCCTGGGTTGCTTATTCTCATCCAGGGCTTGTGATCCTTTCTCCAGCAGATTGTCTCTAAAGGTCTGGGCATGTAACTTGTTCAGTGCCTGTTGTGGAGAAAATACACAATTATAAATCTCTGAATTTTCAGGTTAACTTAAAGAAATACTTGGCTTTAAGGACAAGGCATTGATTTAATCCTTTTCTTGACATTTCCTTTAGTAATAGGCACAGACAGCACCTCATTAAACTAAAACTTGCACGAACATTTAGGGGACGTTGACACTCACACCATCTTTGTGTGGAGGCTGTACAAGGCCAGGCAGGGGAGCTCTTGGATTCAGAGCTCAGTTGGAGAGAGACAATAGTGAAGCCAGGGCTTTGCATGTGAAATATTTCGATGAAAGTTGAAATAAAGAATTCACTGTGTATTTTAAAAATATATACTGTCAGTGCTGCCGATGTGCAGAAATTAAGTTACATAATTAATGTTGACCAAGACAGATATTTTATAGCAATTATTATGGCATTTGAAATTACTATTTTTGTGTACATTAGGTAGGTCTATGGTAAAATATTTTTTAATTTACTTTTTTATTTAATTAAAAAACTAAATTAACTGTTCAAGTACAGTTTTATGTCTTTTACTCCCATCCCAGCCCACCCCCCCAGTGCTCCCCACCTCCCTCCCATTTCCAACTTCCTTAGTTTTTGTCCATGTGTCCTTTATACTTGTTCCTGTGAGTCCTTCCCCTTGTCCCCTGAAATTCCCTCCCCTCTCTTCTCTTGTCACTGTTAACCTGTTCTCTATTTCAGTGTATTTGCCTATATTTTGCTTGCTTGTTTGTTTTGTTGTTTAGGTTCCTGTTAAAGTTGAGATCATATGGTATTTGTCTTTCACCACCTGGCTTATTTCACTCAGCATAATGCTTTCCAGTTCTACCCATGCTGTTGCAAAGGGTAGGAGCTCCTTCTTTCTTTCTGCTCCATAGTATTCCATTGTGAAAATGTACCATAGTTTTTGGATCCATTCATTTACTGCTGGGCACCTAGGTTGCTTCCAACTCTTGGCTATTGTAAATTGTGCTGCTATGAACATTGGGGTGCATAGGTTCTTTTGGACTGGTGTTTCAGGGTTCTTAGGATATACTCCTAGCAGTGGAATTGCTGGGTTAAAAGGCATATTCATTTTTAGTTTTCTTAGAAAATTCCATACTGTTTTCCATAGTGGTTACACCAGTCTGCAGTCCCACCAACAGTGCACTAGGGTCCCCTTTTCCCCACAACCTCTCCAACACTTGTTTGTTGCTTTGTTTATGATGGCCATTCTGACTGGTGTAAAGTGGTATCTCATTGTGGTTTTAATTTGCATCTCTCTGATAGCTAGTGATATTGAACATTTTTTCATGTGTCTCTGGATCCTCTGTATGTCCTCCTTGGAGAAGTGTCTGTTCAAGTCCTTTGCCCATTTTTTAACTGGGTTGCTTGTCTTCTTAGAGTGAAGTTGTGTAAGTTCTTTGTATATTTTGGAGATTAAACCTTTGTCTAAGGTATCATTGGCAAATATGTTTTCCCATACAGTTGGTTCTCTTTTTATCTTAATACTGTTTTCTTTAGCCATGCAGAAGCTTATTATTTTGATGAGATCTCATTTGTTTATTCTTTCCTTTATGTCTTTTGCTCTAGGGGACATATCAGTAAAAATGTTGCTGCATGAAATATGTGAGATTTTCCTGCCTATGTTCTCCTCTAAAACTTTAATGGTGTCACAGCTTATATTTAAGTCTTTTATCTACTTGAATTTATTTTGGTGTATGGTGTAAGTTGGTGCTCAAGTTTTATGTTTTTGCACCCAGCTGTCCAGTTCTTCCAACACCATTTGTTGAAGAGGATATTTTTCTCCATTTTATGTTACTGGCCCCTTTGTCGAATATTAATTGCCTGTAGAGACTTGGGTTTATTTGTGGGCTCTCTGTTCTGTTCCATTGGTCTATGTGCCTGTTTTTATGCCAGTACCAGGCTCTTTTGATTACAGTGGCATTGTAATACAGTTAGGGATCAGGTATTGTGATCCCTCCTACTTTGTTCTTTTTTTCTCAACATTGCAGCTGCTATTTGGGGTCATTTATGGTTCCATATAAATTTTTGAAGTGTTTGTTCTATGTCTGTGAAATATGCCATTGGTACTTTAATAGGTATTGCATTTAATCTGTAAATTGCTTTGGGTAGTATGGACATTTTGATGATCTTAATTCTTCCAATCCATGAACACAGTGTATGTTTCCATTTGTTTGTGTCTTCCTTGATATCTTTCTTCAGTGTTGTGTAGCTTTCTGTATACAGGTCTTTTACCTCCTTGGTTAGGTTTATTCCCAGATACTTTATTTTTCTTTTTGCTCTATCAAATAAATTTTTTATCTTAAATCTGCTTCTGCTATTTCATTGTTAGTATACAAAAATGCCTTTGATTTCTGGATATTGACTTTGTATCCCACTGTTTTGCCAAATTCATTTATTAGGTCGAGCAGTTTTTTAGTGGAGTCTGTAGGATTTTCCATGTACACTATCATGTCATCTGCAAACAATGACAGTTTTGTTTCCTCCTTTCTGATTTGGATGCCTTTTATTTCCTTTCCTTGTCTGATTGCTGTGGCTAAAACTTTCAATACTATGTTGAATAGAAGTGGTGAAAGTGGACAACCTTGTCTTGTTCCTGCTCTTAGTGGAAAAGATTTTAGTTTTTGCCCATTGAATATGATGTTGGCTCTAGGTCTCTCATATATGGCCTTTATTATATTGAGGAATGCTCCCTCTATTCCCACTTTGCTGAGTGTTTTTATTATAAATTGGTGTTGTACCTTATGAAAAGGTTTTTCTGCATCTATTGATATGATTTGTGGTTTTTGTCTTTGCTTTTGTTTATGTGATGTATTACATTTACTGATTTGCGAATATTGAACCATTCTTGCATCCCTGGGATGAATCCCACTTGGTCATGGTGTATGATCTTTTTGATGTATTGTTAGATGCGGTTTGCCAGTATTTTGTTGATGATTTTAGTGTCTATGGTCATCAGCAATATTGGCTTTAAGTTTTCTTTCTTTGTTGTGTCTCTATCTGGTTTTGGGATTAGGATGATGCTGGCTTCATAAAAAGAGTTTGGGAGTTTTCCATCATTTTGGATTATTTGGAATAGTCTGTGACGAATAGGGTTTAGCTCTTCCTTAAATGCTTTGTAAAATTCTTCTGTGAAACCATCTGGTTCAGGGCTTTTGTGTCATGGGAGTTGTTTTATTACTGCTTCAATTTCATCTTCTGTTATTGGTCTGTTCAGGCTTTCTGGTTCTTCTTCACTGAGTTTTGGAAGATTATATTTTTCTAGAAATGTGTTCGTTTCACCTAGGTTTTCAAATTTCTTGGCATACAGTTATTCATAGTACTTTCTTACAATCCCTTCTATTTCTGTGGTATCAGTTGTAATCTCTCCTCTTTCATTTCTGATTGTGTTTATTTGGGTCCTCTCTCTTCTTTACTTGATGAGCCTGCTTAATGGCTTGTCTATTTTGTTTATCTTTTCAAAAAAAAACCAGCTCCTGGATTCATTGATCCTTAGAATTGTGCTTTTAGTCTCTATGTCATTTAATTCTGCTCTGATCTTGGTAATTTCCTTTATTCTACTTGCTCTGGGCTGTTGTTGTTCCTTGAGTTCTTGTATGCATAAGGTTAGGTTGTTTGTTTGAAATGTTTCTATCTGTTTTAGATAGGCCTGTTTTGCTGTGAACTTTCCTCTCAGGACTGCCTTTGCTGTGACCCATAAGTTTTGGGTTGTTGTGAGTTCATTTTTATTTGTTTCCAGAAACTTTCTGATTTTTTTTTCCTAATTCCATTTTTGACCCATTTGTTGTTTAATAGCATGCCATTCAATCTCCATGATTTTGAGTGTTTTGGGTTTTTTCTTTTGGAGTTGGTTTCCAATTTCAGTCCCTTGTGGTCTGATAAAATGCTTGGTATGATTTCAGTTTTCTTGAATTGGTTGAGGCTTGCTTGTTTTGTGTCCTATCATGTGGTCTCTCTTTGGAAATGTTCCATGTGCATTTGAAAAGAACGTGTATTTAGCTTCTTTGGGATAAAGGTCTCTCTATATATATCTGTTAATTCCATTTCATATAGGGCATTGTTCAACACCACAATGTCTTTGTTGATATTTTGTTTGGAAGATGTGTGCATTTTTGACAGTGGGATGTTAAAATCCCCCACTATAATTTGTTGCTGTCTGTATCTTTCTTGAAGTTCTCTAAGAACTTCTTTATATATTTTGGTGCTCCTATGTTTGGTGCATATATATTTACAATGTTTATGTCTTCTTGGTGGATTCTTCCCTTG